CAGTGACGCTGCTCCGTGTGACACCACCGTGTAGGGGCCCTGTCATTCTACAGGTGTCCAGACCCATAGAGTGCAGGAGCCCCAGGGCTGGCCCTGACCCGAACTCTGCACTCTGGTGGCAACCACGCGTCAGGGCGGCTCACCGATTGTACCAGCGAGTCTCCGGTTGGGGCGCTGACGGTGGGGGCAGAAGGTGTACGGGAACTCTCTCATTTCTACTATATTTGCTGTGAATCTGAAACTGCTTTAAGAAATAAAACCTGTGGGGTAAAATAAAGAACAGGTGAAATTAATGTTAATCGCAGCTTTTAATTAACTCTGTATATCCAAAAGATTATGTCAACATGTAATCAATATAAACATTATAATGAAATATTTTACATTCTTTTGAATGCTAAGTCTTTGAAATCAGTTTATATTTCACAGTCCCAGGGCATCTCCATTCAAAACAATTCACCGTATTTCTAGTGCTAGGCGGCCTGCGGGTCAGTGGTGCTGCCCGACGATGCGGGTCCAGCCCTCTCTGTGTCCCTGGGGACCGCCCACCCCACCCACCTCCAGCCACCCTGTTGTCTGTCACAGCTCACGCGGGGACACTGCTCCCGAACCAGCTCCTACACATGCCTTGGACCCGGCTCAAATGCCCACTTGTGGTCGGCAGAGCAACGCCTCCCACAGACGTCCATGTCCTAATCCCCGGAAACAGTGACTATTGCTACCTTACACGGCAAAGGGGACTTTGCAGATGGATTAAATGAAGGATCTTGGGATTATCCTGCATTATCTTCGTGGGGTCTTTGTAATCACAAGTAGGGAGCCAGAGGGACGTGAGACTGTGGTAGTCAGTGCTGTGATGGGAGGCTGTGACGGGAAGCAGAGTGAAGCGACGGGCCTCGGGGCGAGGACTGTAGGAGGTCGCTAGCAGGCGGGAGAGGCAGGGCGTGGGTTCTCCCCTGGAGCTTCCAGGAGGTGCCCACACCTTGATTAGCCCTCTATAGACCCCCTGCAGACTCCTGCCCTCTGGAACTGTAGATAATGAATGTGGCTGGTTTTCAGCCACTGAGTCTGCGGGCCTTTGTTACAGCAGCCATGGGAATCTCACAGGGCCCCCCCAGGTGCAGTCAGCCTGCTGGTGTTTGCACCCCCTCCACTGAGCCTGGGGCCCTCATGCCAGGTGCTCTCATGCACAGACAGGAGAGGAAGGAGACCTGGACTAAGGTGGGCAGGGAGATGTAGGGATGGAATTTAAAAGCTTTAGGAGGAAAAGTCAGCCGGTCAGTGATGGATTAGACCTGGTAGTGGGGGCAGCCTAGGGGACTGAGGATGGCACCTGGACCCCCTCAGTTTGATGTCCCCCTTAGTGTCTCCCAGGACTCTCTGGACGTGCCTGTTAGCATCGCTGCTCCTGGCTGCAGAGTCTGTCTGCTTGCGTTCTCTCTCTCTCTCTCTCCCCCCACAACACCAGCCAGCCTGTCACCCCCATGAGAGCAGGGGACAGTGCCCGTGCTGCCCATGGATTCCAGCCTCAGTGTAGTGATGGGACACACAGCAGGAACTCAACATGCACACATCATGTGAAAGATTTGAATGAGGGGGTGAATCTGGATTCCTAGGCCCGCAGTGTAGGCCGTAAAGCATAAAACGTTAAACAAATAGAGGGAATGAATGGGTGAGTGGGTGAATCGATGTTCCTCGTATCTGCAGGAGTTGGACTTGGGAGTCGTGGATATCTGAGGAATTGGGTTTGCATTGCCTGCAGGGCAAGGGGCTTCCTAGGCGCTGGCAGCTGCTAGGTTTTTTCTTTTATTTTTTATTTTTTAGATGGAATCTTGCTCTGTCACCCAGGCTGGAGTGCAGTGGTGCGATCTCAGCTCACTGCAACCTGCACCTCCTGGGTTCAAGAGATTCTCATGCTTCAGTCTCCTAAGTACCTGGGATTACAGGCACCTGCCACCTCACCCGGCCAATTTTTGTATTTTTAGTAGAGACGGGGGTTTCACCATGTTGGCCAGTCTGGTCTCGAACTCCTGACCTCATGCCTCAGCCTCCCAAAGTGCTGGGATTGCAGGCGTGAGGCACTGCGCCCGGCGGGGACTGTGCTTTAAATGGACCCGCCTTCCCTGTCCTCAGGGCCCTTGTACCTGGAACGCAGCTGCCATCACAAAGTACCACCGTGGTGATCTTTCTCTTGGGGTCCTGGAGGTCAGAAGTCTGAGAGTGTTTTTTTCGGAGGCTCTGAGGGAGCCTCTGCTCTCTGCCTCTCCTCCCAGCATGGCTGCCCGGGTCCTTGGTACCCTCAACCTGCAGCCACATCACCCCACTCTCTGCCTCCGTCTGCACACAGCCTTCTCTGTGTTTATCTGTGTCCCAATTTCCAAATTCTTATAACGCCAGCCATACAGGACTCAGGGCCCACCCTCATCCAGCATGACCTCATCTTAACTAACTGCATCTGCAGAGATGCTGTTTCCAAATTAGGCCACACTCATGGGTTCCGGGTGCACGGGAATTGGGGAACACTACTCAAGCCGGTCCAAATGCCTTTCCCCGGCCAGGCACAACCTCTCTGCTTCCTTCTGGGCTCTGCGCAAACATCACCTTGTCCAAGGAGCCTTTCTACCACTCTTGTCTGCAACCCAGCGGCCCCACCGCCCCTCCCTCACCATCCGCCTGCACCCCCACACTGTTGATTCTTCTTCCCACCCTCATCGCATTTGATGCTGTCATATTTTTGCTTCTTTCCTTGTTGTCCATCTGCCTCCCTCCATCTCCCCTCCTAGAAGAGCCCCTAGAGAGCAGGGGCTTTGCTCATGGGCCCTTTCTGCAGGCCACACCTGGCAGGAGCTCTGGAGTTTGCAGGTGTGAGCAGGCTCTTCTGGCCCAGGGTGGGGAGCAGGACTGAGGCCGGCTGGATGCTGGGCTAAGATGAGCAGTGCCGGGAGTGAAGGGAAGAGAGGATTGAGAGATATTTGGGAGGCAGGATCGATAGGCAGGTCTTGGAGATGGCTCAGCAGGGTGGGGAAGGAAGGGGAGGCTTCCCCTGTGTCAGGCTTGTCAACACAACCATTTGTTTCTGCAAGGGCCCTGGAATTTTCTGGGTCTCTGGATCAGATCGATCCTCTGCTAATGGGCCTCTCTCTGCATCCTTCCCAAAGAAAATCAATTCTCTGAGGTTTGAGAGTAAGTGCGTCCTAATTACACCTCCACTGGGCTTCTTTGTTCGCTCCAGCCTGGTCCTCCCTGGGGAGGCCAGGGGCAGACAGAGGCCAGATGGGTCCTGAGGCCCCTTACCATCCTGGGGAGGGGCTGGCCCCTGGGAGTTAGAGGGCTGGGGGTTGGGGGTCTGCTCTTTGTCCTGGCCTAGGAGGAACCTTGTGACCCTGAGGCCTGTGAGGGACACACATTCTGGGGACCTGTGGCCACGTGGCCAGCATGTCCGGAGATGACAAACAGTCCACTTTTCTGGAGCCTCAGGTTCACTTGAAGATGTAGGAAATGTCTCCATGTAGAAACCACCAAGGATGTGTTATAGAAGGGCATGAAATAGCTCCCAGTGGGTGGGGCCTTTATGCTAAAGCAGCTCCAGGCCTGTCCCCTCGGCCCCCAAGGGACAAACTGGGTGAGTCTGAGAAGCACTGGCCTCACAGTCGGGCCACACACGTCAGCGCAGGCCGGGCTCGGAGCCAGGTGCTGGGGTCTGAGGCAGGCACCGAAGCCTGGTTCCAGCCCAAGGCCTCCTCGCCCAAGCTGGGGAGTTGCCCCCAGTCCCCCGAGCTCAGCTCCCCGCAGCATATCTCGGCAGTGGTCGGACACGGGGAGGCCCTGCAAGGCATGCTGCCCACGACAGGAGCGCCAGGGTCGTGCGTTCCACCCGTGTTCCTCTCCCCACCGTGGGTCTGTGTCTGGAATCTGCATCGATGGAGCAGGGGTGAGATGGGAAATGCTTCCCCGAGCACCTCTCTGATCCTCTCCAGTAGAGTCAGGGCATATTCTGCAATCCCAGTGTATTTTAACAGCTGATGATAAGAGGTGTTGGTTTCAGGGTCTCTGGGACTTAATCTTCAATGGAGAATTAACTCCATGTCCTGATGCATGGACGGCTTCCGAACAACAGATATGAAGTTGCCTTTGTGGCTTATCTCCCTCTCCTTGCTGGGGAGCCAAGGCGCTTTAAAGCTCAGTGTACTCTCAGATTCTCACTTGGCCAGGAGGGCCTTGCCCAGGGAGGTACTGAGTGGACAGCCCTGTCTCCCAGCACGAGCCCAGCAGACGCCACTCCAGGGCGGGCACAGTGCTTTGGGTCTGATTTCCAGCAGCTACCCGAGCTCTGGTACCTGCGTGCGGTCCCCTACCATCCTGCGCTGCAGGTGGTGGTCAGGATAGAGGATGGGGCTCCCTGGAGGAGCTCAGAGTCCAGAGAGCGAAAGAGGCAAGCAGACAGGCCACAGGAATGCCTCAGCACAGCCGTCCGCCTGAAATCAGACGGGCCACAGGAATGCCTCAGCACAGCCGGTCCCGCCTGAAATCAGACGGGCCACAGGAATGCCTCAGCACAGCCATCGGCCTGAAATCAGACGGGCCAGTGTCAAATCCTGAGTCAGCCACTTATTAACTAAGTGATTTCAGGCAGAGAACTATCCCTTTGGAGGCTCCTCTATCAGCTGTGAGATGCATACGGTAACCTAGAGCTGCCCGGCACATAGGAAGCACTGGGGAGAAATGACTGGCTGGGATTTGGAGTCAGAAGGACCTGACTTTGGATCCTAGCTCTGGACCTAAGCTCCACACCTGCGTGAGTCCTCAGTGTTCCTGAGAGAGCCCAGTCTCCTCTCCTGCCTTGTCGGGATGCACTGCCCCCAGGCAGAGTGCCCAGGACTGCACTCAAGGTGTCTGGGGCGCTCTGCCCACACAGTCACAGGGCAGGGGCCGGACACCGTGTGGGCTGATGAAGGCCGCACCTGGAGGGCACGTGGCTGATAGCTGTCCCCCTTTTCCCCCAGGTCGTCGGATTTCGGGACGTCCTACACCAAGCTCACCCTCCAGCCTGGCGTCACCACCGTCATCGACAACTTCTACATCTGCCCGACCAACAAGAGGAAGGTAGGTGCTGTCCGGGCGTGGCCACCGCTCCGGCTGCAGCTCTGGCTCTCACCTTGCGCCGCTCACTCTGCAGGGCAAGGAAGCTGCTGCCCTGCCTGCTGTCTCCTACTCTGGACCAGGCCGGAGCGTGAGATGTTTCCTTCCCGGCTCTCGCTGCCACCCTTCCCAGTGCCACCTGACACCATTCTGTGCTTTAAGCCAGAGGCCAGGCTTTGGACGAAGTCGCCGCCTGCATACCTGGGGCACGTTTGTCTTCCCCCCGGTTGGGGGGTGGCACGCATCCATCAGGGCACAGCAGGGAGGAGCTGCGGGTCTGGAAGCAGAGAGAGAAGCAGCTCTCTTGGGTTGGGAGCCCTCGGAAGGCAGTGCTGAGCAGGCCCGTTCTTCGGAAGTTAGTTGTTGATCTGGTTTTGATTAGGCTGTGATTTCCACCTGAGCTCTCCTCGCTGTTTCCTGGGTCCGGGGGAGCTTCCTGACTTTGTTCTCTGGCTGGCTGTACAATAGGAGAGAGGGGTCTTTCCGAGGCTGCCCACCGTGGGTTCCGTGACAAGACCCCTCCTGCGAACATGTGTCTGTGTCCTGTCCCACCCCGAGCCCAGATCGAGGTCGGCAGAGGCACCAGGGCGAAGCTGTTCTGCGAATCTGACTCTGTTCAGCAAAGCAGTTCACGGTCACAGAAAGGGACTCAGACCAGTGTTTGCATCCCGGCTCCCCTCTCCGTGCCTCAGTTTCCTCAAATGGGATGTCACCCACATCTCGTGCAGGGAATCGTGAGCTCTAGGATCCGGCACCCAGAGCTCCTGCTGGTGCTCGGCATGAAGTGGGCACTTAGGCCCCTGGGCTTAGCTCTAATGGTGACTTTGAAGGAGAGATCTGAGCAGCTTGGAGTCTGTGAGAACGTCCGTAAATCAACAGAACATCCAGAAAGGGAGTCGTGTGGGATGGTGATGATTCCAAGGGTGCTGGAGCGTTTCGATGGTTGTGCTGGTGGCAGGTTCACGGGGGCTCAGAGGAGCTGGGCGCACTGGCGCTTGGCAGCTTCTGCTGAGACCACAGGCCTGGCAGCAGCAGTCCATGGAACAGGGGGCCTGAGATGCGTGCAGCCTTGACTGGGACGTCTCAGTGGTCTCAGCCATGTTTGTTCATGGGATGTCCTCCCTCTTCCTAAAGCAGGTTGCTTCGCTGGTTTTGTTTTGTTTGTTTTCTCTTCTTGATTTCTGCTGTAGGAGCTTCCAGTTGGACAGACTTGGAATGCAGAGGTGGGGAGGGTTGCAGAGGGGAGGCGAGGGAGACCTGGCCCTGGGGACACGAGAGGCACCTGCTGGAAGGCCATGTCTCGGCATGTAGGGAAGAGGGGTGGTTTGACCTGAGCCAGCCCCCGCTTTTTCCCAGCCCCAGCCCTGGGGATTCACACACCTGATCTCTTTTCATCCCGCAGTGGCCCAAAGAGGGAGGCATCATTGTCCCCCTTTCCAGGGCAGGACATGGGACAAGAGGTGAGATTTGCTCAGTCTCACACCTGGTGGGGCAGGGGGCCGGATCTGAACCCAGCTTCCCCGAGCCCAAAGCTGAGGGTGGAGGGCATTGTCCAGGCTTGGCAGCGGCGAGGCCTGCACCTGCTGGAAAACCCAAACCATATGGGAGCAGAGGCAGACGCTCTGCCTTCCGGCCCGGCCGTCACCCCTTCTTCCTGGGACTGCTGTCATTCAAATTTGAGGCAAAGATGAGTGGCTTGGGGCTGGCACTGACCAGGTGAGGGCCCACACCGACCCCAGATTCCCGCTGGCAATGGAGGAGGCCACGCCCCCCACCTCTTGGCCCAGGCTTTAGTTCCTGTCCCTCCATCCAATCCAGTCCTGGTGGTCTTCCAGCGGCTACCCTTCTCCACTCCATGCAGGGGACACTCCGCTTCTGTCCATCTGGTCACCAGCTAGGAGAGTCCACAGGTGTCTGGGATATGATAGTATCTCCAGGGTCAGCCCCGCAGGCCACGTCTATGTTTGGAAATGTGAAGAGCAAGGCAACAGGGGCAGTAACGGAACCGAGACAGACTCTGAGGCCCTGAGGTCAGGGAAGGTGTGACATGGAGACTGGGCCAGACAGCACGAGGTCAGAGAGAGCATCTTCCGCACGGAGCAACCTGGGGACATGGCCATGGCCTCCACTGAGCCTCAGTTTCCTGGCCTGTAAAGCAGGTGGGTGGGAGGACCCATGAGATGATACATAGAATGTGCATGGGGTCAGCAGAGGGGTTTCTACCAGACCTTCTGTGCAGGCCAATTTGGGGTACTCAGCAGAACTTCCTCTGCAGGCGGCACGGTGGAGGCGTCTGCAGTCTTGAAAGCAGACAAACCCTGAGACAGGTTATTTGAGTCCCTGGGCACAGGCTGGATTTCAGAGCCAGGACAGTTTGGATGTTTAGCCTAGAAATATCACTGTGGGTACAGGATTGGGTCTGTTGGCGGCCTGGCACCCAGCACAGAGGCTCAGCTGACTTTAAAGGGATGGGATGAATGAATGAGTAAATGAGTGTCACAAACAGCAGTGTGTGCTGCCCAGCAGACGCTGTAGCCGCATCGGGTTTGCCTGGGTGCAGACACTGCATCTGCAGGGTGGTGTAGAGGACGGTGCCAGGACTGGGGATTCCCCATACTCAGTTCAGCTCTGCCAGGTGCCCCCCCATCAGGGAGCTGCAGATGTCTTACCTGTAAAGGGGACAGTGATCAAGGGTGGGCTTGACAGGTGAGCACCTGGCAGAGCCTTACTCAAAATTGCCATCTGCTGTCAGCTGAAGAGAAGCCCCCAAAGATGTCCCAGTCCTGACCCCTGCAACCTGTGAATGTCACCTTCTATGGCAAAAGGGACTTTGCAAATGGGATTAAGTGGAGGATGTTGTGATGGGAAGGTTCTCCTGGGTTGTCTGGATGGGCTCAGCTCAGTGTCATCACAGGGTCCTTGTGGAGGGTGGCAGGAGGGCTAGGGCTGCAGGGGGAGCTGGCAGATGGAGCAGAGGCTGGGGCAGGGCCTGGATGGGGCCACAAGCCAAGGAAAGCAGGCGCCTCTGGAAATAAGTTGGAAAAGCCCAGGAAATGGACTTGCCACCGGAGCCTCCGGAGGAACCAGCCCTGCCAACACCTTGCCTTTAGCTTTGTGCCCTCCATGGCCAGAAGAGAATGAATTTCTGTTGTTTCAAGCCACGGAGTGTGTGGTGATTTGTTGCAGCAGCCACAGGAGGCTGATACAGCCACTGTTTTGAGGAGGAGCTGCAGGGGTGGGGCTGGGAGTGGGGAGGCCGGGGCTCCTGCTCTCCCCTCACCCACACTGTTCTGCCCACCCCACAGCCCCCCAGATGGAACTGGCCTCCTGTGGGCCCTCCTCCTCCTGCTGACACATGGATCCTGATTCCCGTTGGGCCCCAGGTGGCAGGAGCAAAGTCACAGGTGCAGACAGGGCTGGGCTTCTGGATGCCCCGGTTTGGGACTGTTCTCACCTCTCCCCACCCACCTCCTCACCTCAGGACAAAACTGACCCTTTCTTGGGAAGGCCATGATCCCCTAGGTTGGAGCCACCAGGGGCCCCACCAAGGGCCTCGGTGAATCTGAACTTGTTGCTTCCAGAGCCCCTGATGCTGCAGGAACTGCTGTCTCGGAGGCAGGCAGGGCAGTAACAGTGCGGGGCCAAGAGTGCGGTGGATGCAGGGCACCGGGGAGTGGCAGGGGAATGGGATGAGAGGCTGCCCTGAGGCCAATCCCCTGGCTTTTCTGGCTGGGGCATAGGGGCCTCTGCCTGGATCTGAGTCTAGCCCTGCAGCCTACCTGTTCTGAGACCTTGAACAAGTGTTAACCACCCTTGTTCCAGGCTTCCTCACTGGTGAAATGGGGATAGTAGCAGTGTCTATACTGTAAGGCTGATGGAAGTAATGAGGTGCTCCTTGTCAAGTGCTCCGATCAGGGCCTGGCCCAAGGGAAGACCCCACAAGTTACTCGTTATTCCTCTAAGGATAACCCACTGTTATCCTTAGAGGGAAACACTGAGGCCCTCCTGGCCAGCCATCTGAGACTTTAGGTTAGGAATTGGCTGCAGGGTGACAAAGCCTCACACGTGTGGCCCCGGTGGGCTGTGTCTATTGGAGGGACCAGACGTGGCCGTGGAGCAGAGGCGTCTGGATGGCTGTGCCAGGCATGGGGGGCATTGCCCTGGCCCTGCTTATCTGCACCTGCCTGGTTCCGCTGTGCCTGGGTCAGGCTGCTTGCTCTTGGCATGGCCTGCCCACACCTCTGTGTTTAGAGAACACATGAATTCTCAGTGATGGGAATCAGGGCAGCGATTTGTTATCTAACTAACAGGGAGGCATGTGTTTCCCTGTGATGCTCCTGGCAGCGCGCTTCTGCCTTGGGAGAATGAAACATTGGCTCCTGTCTGCAGAGGTGGGACGGGCCACGTGCTGAGTGGGGCTGGGGACAGAGGTCGGGGGGGCCAGAGAGCATGTGGACTCAGAGGCCGAGGGCAGCAGAGGGCCCGAGCTCCAGGCAGCAGGCTCTGCTGCTCCTTCTCTAGTGGTACAAACTGTAGGCAAGTTCCTAATCTGCCTGCGCCTCAGTTCCTTGTCCGTAAAGTGGGGTCGTGATGGTGAATAAGGGTTACTTGGGTTAATGCATATATGGTACCTAGAATCAAGCCTGGCACACAGTTTGATAGTGGTCTTGCAACAAGTGGGAACTCAGGCTGATTTGGTTTTAAATGCATTTAGAGGCAGAAAAGTCACAGTTACGATTCCACATAAAACGAATTTGATTTTACATGTCAAGTAAGGAGTGGGGCAAGCCAGAGAAGCTGGTTAAAGCAGAAAAAGAGACTCAGGGGGTACAGGGCTGGTCTTCAGACACCTGCATGGTGGTCCTGGGGAACAAGAGCAGCCCATGACTGGGGCAGAGGCCAGGCGTCATTCCTCCCTACTCCTCAGCCGTGCACAGCCTCTGGCACTCAAACGGAACTCAGGA